AAACAAAACCCAAGGGCAGAACAGGCAGATTTAAGGGGTGACAAGCTATGCAGATGAAGAGGTCAGGGGCAAGTGAGGGACAGCCACTTCTGAGATGGCCACTCTCATTCTTTTGAATTCAGGACTGGAGCTCAGTGGTTCCTCCATAAGTAAAGTTCTTGGCAGACAAAGGTCCTAAAAATCAGTTTGCTCATCACCTAATTGTGCCAAAGCCAAGTTAGCTGCCTCCGTCTTGGTGACGTCATCCATCCCCATCCAAAATTGCACAGCCTGGACTTTAAAGGCCCCTGTGGGAGCTAAATAGACCCACAGAGGCAAAACACTATTTAATTGATCTTCATTTCTTCCAGTCCTTTACAAGTTTGAGGTTTATAGTAGGATGATCTAACAGAGTTCTAAAATATCCTCCTGTGAGCTATTTGCATCTACTTTGGAGGTGTTAAATGTGGAAGCAATTATCCTTTCATGACAGGATTTTTTTTCTTGGCTCAGTAAATCTTTGTGCTTTTTTGACACCTGATGCGTAGGTAAGGAGTTGGGTTTGTTTTCTATTAACTTGCAGTGAGTTTCTTTCCCTTAGAGAGCTTAAGGGTAGATGCATGCCTCTCTGAGAGACAAACCACAATCTACGTGTGTAGGAGGAACTAAGTGCTAGAAAAGATTATGTTCTGGCAAAGTAAAGTATAAAAAATCTGCCTTTGACATTATTCCACAACCATGGGGTAAAACTGGCAGCAAAAGCCGATTCGTTGGTTTCACGGAGCAGAACCCAGAGAAGGACAGTGTTTTTGGCTGAATTATTTCTTTTACTTCTTGTTGCTCTAAACTGGGGTCTTTTTTTTTTTTTTAGAGGGTGTGTGGCATCGTATTTTTAGTTGCTGCCCCATGAATTTGAAAGCCTCAGGTTTTTACCAGTGCTCAGAAAGCTGGGGGGCCGCCAACAGGGAAGATAAAATAAGCTCTCTGATTTTATCCAGTGTATCTAACGTGTGCCAAGAAGGAAAAGAAAAATCTTTCAGCATTCGAAGAGAATAGCTTTTGTTGATCTTATTCATAGAGTGATAGAGGGCGTAAGAGAAGCTGGTTTGTACTCTGCCAAAACTGTGGTGTTAGTTAATTGTCTATGGGAACATAAGACATTTAAACTGTGGGAAACTGATGCCCAAACACATTTTAAAAATGCAAGTGCTTTTCCTATTTTCAGACTCTAGTGAGAAAGTAAATCATTTCAAAGTGGCCAGGCAGGGCTGACACTCACCAAGGTCAATGCATTGCCTCCTGGGCACAGGGGAAGATCTTGATTTTCAGGGTCTAGTGAGTCTCTAGTGAACAGGAGATGTCCACAGGTGGTTAAGGTTGATGTGCAAAGGTCGGTTGTGGCAAAATCATCACAAAGACTTTCACAGGGCAGTTCATACACAGCAGCCACCCTATAAAGCCCTTCCTGTGAGTTACCTTAGACACGGATCCACTCCAGAAAATAGGGATGGGTGTCCTCTCCATCTTAAAGATGAGGCAATCAAAGTAGAAAGAAGTGAAGTGAATTCTTCAGAGGCACAGTTCTCATAAAAAAACGAAGTGGGGCAGCAGAAAGAATACTTAGATTTGAATTTGGGAACATTTGAATGCAAAGCTATGGATCTAACCACCATGCAATACCACACGAAGGGCTCCTTTTAGGAGTAAGACTATGGGAGGAGCCAAAGCTTGATGAGCAGAGAAGGTGCCAGGGATCAAGGCCAGTTGTGCTGGAAAAGATGGAGAAGGTGCAGTCAGCCTGTTGCCCTTTTTCTCCTTCCGGGTTTCTACTGCTGGTCTTACCTCAGGGAGGTGTTAGAGAGTAAACTATTAGTCTGCAATGCCTGAAGGCATTCCTTTAGGAGAACTCACAGGAAATTTTAAGGACTAAAATATTTTCAAAATACACAGGAGCCATTTCAGAAAGGGGTGCTTCAATCTCCATTTCAGATGGATGGAGAGCTTCTTTTCAAGGTGAGGTCCCCATAGAATGCTGTGGAACGGGCAGTGGCAGTCCTCTCCCCCGCCTCCTGGAAAGCCCTCTGAAGTACAGAAATGAGGCAAAGAGAGTTGAAGGGAGGAGAAAACATCACACAGATGGAGAGTGATCTAAAAAGGGGACAGAAAAGCATGGAATCGCATGGCGTACTGCTGAATTTAAGCCTCACCTCTGCCAGTTTCTAGCCATGTGATGATGGGCACAGAAATAAAAATCACCTGCATAAAAATATTTACTTTCTAGAATTCTGAGGATTAACTAAAAAAATAAATAAAGACTGGGAAAGGTAGCAACCGAAGGCATGTTTATAAACCAGACACTTTCAGCCGAAGTTGGAGTCCTTTTCGTCTTCCTCCGCTACCTGAGGTGTGAGCATTAGAGGGTATCAGGAAGACAAACATTAACACTGAAGGGAATGGACTGTCTAGAGTAGAAAGAGACTCCATTGTGAGGTTCTTGATCCTTAACATGAGTCAACCTTACACTTATTCAGTCAATAACTTCTCACTCTGCAGTTCTCTTTGGTTTCAGACAGACTCACTGCACTTAAAATACTGACTTTATGGGACCAGTGTCCTTTACAGTTTTGAGAATCTTGGTCTGAGGATATAGCTTAGTGGTAGAGCAGTTGTCTAGCATGCAAAAGGTCCTGGGTTATAAAATCCTCAGCACTAAAAAGGAAAGAACACAAAATAAAACAAGATAAACCTGCCCAATCGAAGGCATTAAAGAGTTGCTGGCATATTTCTTTTGGTCGTTCTTCAAGTAGGGTTTCCAATGAGAGCTTCAGAAAGTTAAACAGTTATCGTCTCTGTCATGCCACATTATCCTGGGACACTCTGCATGGAGGACTTTATTTAATCAGAATATTTTTTTTTCTTTTTGAGACAGGGTCTCCCTGTAGCCCCAGCTGGCCTGGAGCTTGCTATGGAGACAGGCTGGCTTTGATCTCACAGAGATCTGCTTGCCTCTGCCTCCAGAGTGCTGGGATTAAAGGCATGCGTCAGCACACTGGGGGAGAGCATTCTTAATCAGTAGATCTACTACTAACTTCTGGCCACTGCTTTCTCTGGTGGTTGTACATGTAGTATTGAACTATCAAGATACAGTCATTGAAGGAAATCTAGCTCTGGAGTGGGCTGTAACGCCTGAAACTACACAGGCTACAATGAAGGCCCTGGGGTTTTTTAAGAGTTTCATTGGTGGTTTTTGTTCCCTCCCTCCCTTCTCTCCCACCCTTTCCTTCCTCTCCCTCCCTCTCTCATCCCTTCCTCTCTTCCTTCTTTATCATCTTCTTCTTTCCTTCTTTGAGTTCCTTAAGACAGGGTCTTTATGTAGCCTAAGCTGGCCTCCAACTTGTGGCAATCTTCCTGCCTCGGTTTCCCAAGTATTGGAATTATAGGTGTGGGCTCCCATACGTGACCCTTGGGTTTTAGTTGAGGATCCTGAGTTATATTCTTCCACTAAGGCCATATAGTGAAGTCTTTAACTTTTAGACTATACAGGCCAAGAAAGAACTATTGGTCAGGACCAACTTAGAGCCTAAAAAGAGGTAGCCTTAACAATCCTGCTGTGGCACTTTGCTATGGGGGGAAATATCTCTGGATATTCCCTGTCCTCATTTATGCATACAAAGGACACAGTGATGCTCATTCTTGAACTTTCCTGGTCCTGTACCTCTAAACTGCTAGGCACGTCCAGCCAAACTCCTTGGTCTTCTGACAGCCTGCATGGGCTGCCTCATGCATGCTCAGGAAGACATTTGCATTCACTGGATACAACTGTTGCTTCAGAACCCTGCCTGACTACTGCTGTGTTAGCTGCCAAATCTCCTGGAAGAATGTCCCTTCTCACGGAATACTACCCTGGGTTTTCCCCAGTGTGTCCACTAGTGCCATGTTCTCTCCAGGGCCCACTACACCATTGGACCTACAGTTTGTCCAATATAGAAGGAAAAAGAATCCTCCCTTCCTAACTCTGTGCCCTCTCCTCCTATCACCTGGGCCAAGTTAGCATGGTTCAGCACATAGGGAAACAGCATCTTTCAAATGTGCCTGTGATCCTCCATTACCCATTCCCTTATGAAGGGACCTTCAAGACAGAAGGAGTTAAATCATCCCCTTTATGGTTTTTAAAAATATTTGTTTTCATTTATGTGTATATATGCGTGTGTCTGTGTGAGTGTATGCCACATGTGTGCACGAGGCCAGACAAAGGCATTGGATCCCCTGGAACTGAGTCACAGGTGATGGCAAGCCATGTGATATGGGTGCTGGGACTTGAACTTGGTCCTCTGGGAGAACAGTATGCTCTCTTAACCACTGAGCCATCTCTCCAGCCCACCCCCTGCCTTATAGTTTTTAGTGCTTCCCCCACACCCAATACCTATGAACCAACTTCAGCTAAAAACCAGAAGCCTTTATGAATATCGGCTTAGGTGGATCTATACCTGTGAGTGAGCAGTCTCAGCTTCCCAGTGCCTATTTAGGCTCGTGCAGGCCCCACTACTATCCATTCTGAGGTTATCTGATCTTGTTGAGTCTATAACCATCAAAGCACCAAGGTGTTGTCAGGGGCTAGTGGTGACCGAAGTTATTTCCCACTGTTGATCAACTGGAGGACACATCCCAGGAAAGAGATCTCAGTGACAGAGAGGAACTGCAGCAGAAGATCTCATTCAATCCCATTGCTGACTGAGTGAGCTGCATCTTGAAATGTGGAAGGTGATTTGACTGAGGAGACTCCCGTGCCCATATATTCTTTAACATCCCCTTTTGTTCAGCCAGGAGGGCTCAGAGAGTCAGGAAATCCAGAGAGAAGGAATCCCCAACCCCATCCTCATCACTCAGGCCTCAGAGACAAGGCATGAGGCACAGCGAGCCATGTTTTCATGGCCAGGATCTTCAGTGCCATTTCAGTTGTCAGTAGAAAGATGCTGTTCTGCGCATCGCCTCATCCTTGTCTGCCTTTCTGCCTGAAACAGGACCTCCAGTCATTCATTCCGGAATCAAAGACTTGAAGGTTCTGAAAACAACCCAGTCTGGATTTGAAGGATTCATTAAGGACCGGTTCACCACTCTCCCTGAGGTGAAGGACCGGTGCTTTGCTACTCAGGTTTACTGCAAGTGGCGCTACCAGAGAAGAGATGTGGACTTCGAGGCTACGTGGTATGCTAAGCAAAAGCCGGGACCTGGGACGGGGTGGATTCATGGAGTCTTAGAGATATGTAGAGGCCCTCAACTCAGCTTCCTTCTTCAGGAATCCCTTCGTGTGTGTGTGTGTGTGTGTGTGTGTATGTTTTAACATGTCTGTGTATGTTCATATGTATAGAAGCACATGCATGTGCAGTTGTGTGCACATGTATACAGAGGTCAGATGATGACCTCAGGTGTCATTCCTCAGGAGCTGTCCACCTTGTTTTTGAGACAGGGTCTCTTACTGGGACCTGAGGTGTGCAGATTAGGTTACAGTGACTGGCCAACAAGCCCCAGGGATCCAGCCATCTCTGCCTCCTCAGCACTGGGATTACGAGTGTGCACACTGTGTCCAGCTTTTTATATGGGTAGTGGGGCTCAAACATAAGTCCTCATGTTTGCTCTCTTTTTCAAAGGGGCTCTCAGACATGAGTGTGCATTGGAATTACTCATGGGCTTGTTAAAATGAAGATCACTGGGCTCAGACACAAGAGAATTTGTGTCCCTAACACACTCCCAGGTGATGTTTCTGCTGCTGGCCTCCATCAAATGAAGGCAACATCCAGCCTTCACACCTTGTAATGTAGAGAGGACTGAACTAGGGCCCCATGCCCTTCCAGTTTATCAAGAATTTCCTACCTTTAACATTGAAAATCCTGTATCCAGGAAAACTCTTGGTCCCAGGCAAATGGGACAATTGACTACTCATAGGCTAAACCCAAAACTCTCTGATATTCTTAGAAGTACTTTGTAAATAGGACTGAGGAGGTGGCTCGGTCTGGAAAGTACTTGCATTGCAAACACAAGGGCCTGAATTTGATCCCCAGAACCCACATGGTGATGCATACTTGTAATCCCAGTGCTGAGGAAGTGGAGCCAGGCAGATCCCTGGGGCTCACTAGACAGTCAGCCTATCTGAATCAGCTGCGAGCTCAAGGTAAACGCCAGAGACTTTGTTTTAAAAACAGGTGGAAAAAAACTGAGAAAGACACCCAAGGCTGACTCCTGGGCTCCACATATATGTATGCAGAGACATGTGCACCTGCACACATGCATCTGTACACACACATACACAGGCACACACACGAAGTACTTGCCAAATGCTTTAATCATGTGAAGGTATAATTCTTATTATATTTTTGACAAGGAATAATTAGGCTTCTGAACTCTCAGAGCTTACTTTTTGACTAAGGATTTTATTCCTTGACTGAAATTCTAATTGTTAGACATTTCTGCCCTAAGATGAGCTGGAATCTGTGCTTCTCCCTACATAGCTTCCTCCCACTGGTATAGTTTTTAATCTGTTCTTTTTATTATGCAAGAGGCTTTTAAATGCTTGCAAAAGAACCTCATCGAGAGCCCTCTTTTCCTTCTCTTGTTTTAAGTGCTTCCCCTGGGTAGCTGGAATCTGCTGTATTTATGATGAGAAAATCATCAGATTGAACACACCAGCCAGGGGAGAGCTCCAGGCCTCCCACTAAAGACAGGGACTCTGAGGAGATGTTTTAACTTTTGAGCTTAGATTCATCATCTCTAAATTGGGGATAATAATAGCACCTGCTTTAGCTATATTGAAATTTCAGTGACATAATCACGTAACGTGTCTGGCATAGAGATGGGAGATCTCTGAGGCAACAGTTCAAGGAGGTTGCCAAGCAGAATGGTGGGAGGGTTTGTGATGGGAGTCATCCTCACAACAGTCTTCATACATGGTGGAAGACGGACTCTGAAGTGCCATTTAGCCCTGGCCCCATTCTATGAGAACAGGTAGATGCTCAGTGTTTGTTTAATTCATTCTCTCTCTCTCTCTCTCTCTCTCTCTCTCTCTCTCTCTGTATAAATGGAAAATGAGATATTTCTTTGTTGTTTGTTTTCATTTGGGTATTACGGAATAATAATCCTTTCTAAAACCATCCATGGACTGTTTTCTGGGTACTGCTTAGCTTTATAATGCATTCTCAACATATTGTGTAAGAGAGCACTGAGTCGTTCCCCCCCCCCCATATTCTAGGGGCACTGTTCGGGACATTGTCCTGAAGAAATTTGCTGGCCCCTATGACAAAGGCGAGTACTCGCCCTCTGTCCAGAAGACACTCTACGACATACAAGTGCTCTCCCTGAGCCAGATTCCTGAGGTATGCTTTGTCACTTGCCATTCTGACAACTGGGAGAACTTGTGTCTCCTGTCAGCTCTGAGAAAGAGTTGAGAGTTAAATAGGAAAGTGGAAGACACATGAAAAGTGACATCTGTTGTTGTTCAAAGCTTGTTATAGCAAGTGAGAAGAGAGCAAAAAATGGAAAAATCTGTTCAACCTAAAAACACAGGCCACTGCTATAATTCTTTAGTTTTGTTGAAAATCCTTTGAGTCCCTTTAACCAGTCGGAAAGTTAAGTCTCAAATTCAGGACATTTCCATGTCTTAATGAAGGATAAAAAAAATGGAGGTTCTATGTTTCAAGGGATCCAGGGAGTAAATGATAGAAGTGTAGGGAGTCATCCCATCCTTCCATATAGTTATCCACCTGTCTACACATCTTCCCATTAATATATCCACCCATCCATTCATCCATCCATCCATCCATCCACACACCCATTACACACCCATCCATCCATCCACCAATCCATCCGCCCATCCATCTATCCATCCATTCATCCATCCACTTATCCATCCACCCATCATTATATCCATCCATCCATCCATCCATCCATCCATCCATCCATCCATTTGATATTATTGGAAATTATGTTTCTGGCAGGACCCAAGGAATACAAAGATAAACTGGAAATGGTCCCTACCCTCAAAGAGTTTATCATTCAGTAAACAAACAAAATAAATAAATAAGCAATATGATAGATAACAAATACTTATGGAAACACAGAGGTTAAATCTAACAGGTATAAAGGATAAGGCCAGTCAGATTTTCTGGGAGGAGGGAGATGTGCTGAGTCTTCAGAGGCAAATAGTGATAATCAGTAATCTGGGTTAACATGTATGAGTAAGGAGCAGGATAGATGTGGAGACAGGCCAGGCCATGACTAGCAACTTACTGTTAAGGGTCAACTATAGGCGACACACTAGAAGTGAATATTTCCATGTGTGCAGACTTTAAGGTGAAGAATCAAGAGGCCGTCTGTAGGCTTATTTACAGAGTCTGTTTATCCTGAGAGCTCTTAGGGGTCATTGAGGTGCTTCAACAACACATCACATGGCCAGATTTATATCCTAGAGTGATCACAGGCAGGGTGATGAATCTTAGGCAAGGGGACCTGTGGGATGCTATTGCAGAAATATGGCCCCAAAAGCCATGGGTTAAGGCCATGCTGGAACAGAGGAAAGCCCTACTAGAGGAAAAAGACTTCTCTGCCTTGGCCAAGCACTATAGCAACCCTCTTCGGACCTTCCTCTGGCAGTGCCTACCTCCATTGGGTAGAATTGGTAAAACCAAGGCAACAAATTCTTCAGGTTCCCACAGCTCCCCAGAATTTTCCACCCAAATAGCCTGGGGATGACTTCCAGAACCTGGGCAAACCTCTCCTTAGAGGCCTGTCTTGCAAGAGGCAGATCATATCATTGCGGTGTACATCCTTAGGCCTAAGAATGGGAAGGGATATGGAAGTGACTTGAAATACAAAGGGAATATCTATCCATATGATCCAAGGGACGAGGAGGGTTGGCCCAGGGACTAGGGCCGGCTCTTCCCATGTTGTCATGTCCTGGCACAGCTCTGTAGAGAGTCACTATTTTAAATTACAACCTGACCTTCTAGGTTTAATGAAAGCATTTTTTATTTTTTGCTAATTAGAAAAGTAGAACGTGCTAGGTGTAGTGGTGCATAATGTTAATCCCAGCACTCAGGAGGCTGAGGCAGGAGGAGCTCTGTGCATTGCAGGCCAGCTGGGACTACAGGGAGACCTTGCTGCAATAATAAAATTGATGATGATGATGATGATGATGATGATAATAATAATAATAATAATAATAATTCACTACATCTATGCATCTTGTATATGGGATTTTAATTTTGCTCTTTTTCCAGGGCCTATGCATGTTAGGGACAAGCCTGGGATGGAATCTTGGAGGAAGTTAGTATATTGACTATGTTGACAGTTTCTGGAGGTCAGCTGGGTGTTGAAGGAGTCTCCCAGGTTTCCACCTCAAGGAGCCCTTGTTTTACAGAGAAGCAGATTTTCTAGTGAGGGGAAAGGAATAGGCCTGCCATTTCAGAAAGACTCATAGGAGAGAACAGAGTTTGGCAACAGAGGAACATGGGGGTGCCTTAAAGATGGAGTTGCAACCTGGATCACCAGTGGTGATCAGAATGGGTGGGGTAGATGGAGGAGGGGAGAAACTCTTGGGTGCCCGGGATAATACTGCTGTTGATTCCAGATTGAAGATATGGAAATCAGCCTGCCAAACATTCACTACTTTAACATCGACATGTCCAAAATGGGATTGATTAACAAGGAAGAGGTAAGAGAAACACTGGAAGCCCATTTCTGAACCGTGTCCCTGAGGCTCCTTTGACAACTTGGGATACTATTACTGACTAAAACTCTTAGCAGCTGCTGGCTTTGGAGAATAATTATAGTCGCCACTGATTAGAGCCCTCTCTGACTCTGGGTCTTTCAATGCCTGAGCTTGGAGTACTCTAGAAGTGGATGAGTGATTACAGAGGAGGGTTGGAAGTTGTGGAGAGGAAAACAAAAAAGAAGGAACAGAGTGTGCCCACGGAAACAGCCCAAGATCTCCTTCTTGGAAAAGAACCACCCGAGGTCACAGCTGCATTATTCTTCTGTCGTGAGGCAATGAGGGAAGGAAAGGCTCTATTTTCGTTTTCTTTCATTGTGCCTAGCTTTTGATTAAGTAGTCAGTTCAGTAGCATACAATGCACACAAGAGAGATGAAAGCATGTTTGTGTTACTGTCAGCAAGACAAGGAAATTCATATTTTGAATGGGAACCTTTGTCTTGGGAAATGCATGGCCCTGACTTCTTTTTAGCCAGGACAATCAAGTTGTCTGACTAGGCAGCCCAGAGTCCTATCTGGTGACCTCTGTGATCACTTTCTGGGAGATTAGAACTGTCTCAGCCCCACGGACATTTTCAGAGATAGCAGTTCTCCTTTTGACTCGTCTGCAGCATCATTTTTGGTAACTGCTTTTAGTATGTGTGAGGGAGTGAGCTCTGCTAATGGAGAATCACACTCTCTAGTGGGTAAGGTTAACAGAGGGGTCTCCAGAAGCTCCCGCACTCTGACCAAGGAGCCTTGCATCCCTCTGGCCAGATTCCTAGTTTCTCTTTTGAAAATAATGCCAGTGGGATCCGCTAGACTCTGCACCATCAGCTGCAAGTGGGTGCTGGGGGTTGAAAAACAAGAACCATGGCTACCCATCTCCTCTGAGTGGCAGAAAGAGGGGAATTTTGGCCCCATGTTTATTCAGGTGAAAGGGTCAGGTGTGATGACTAGACTGGTGCTTAGCTCAAGGCCCCAGTCAGTCAGGAGGATCTCTGTGGGGTCCACTGAGCCTCAGGCCTGCATGGATCCCTTCAAGAGCTTACCTATGAGCTGGAGTGCTCTAGAAGTGAATGAGGATTAAAGAGGATGACTGGAAGTTGCAGAGAGGACACAAAAAGAAGGAACAGAGTGTGCTTCCTCCTGAGTCCCAGCTGGGGCTTGGAAATGGAGGGGGGGCTGAGTTCTTTCATTCAGATCTCTGTGTAAAAGCATCCATGTGCCTGAACAAGGTGTCCTCATACTGTAGGGTCAGCTTCAGCTACACGTGGACCCTCATCTACCTGTGTGCAAAGTGAAGGTCACACAGGAGAAGCAGGAAGCTGAGGGACACTGACAACAGGAGGGGGGTGACAGGTGAGGGTAGGGAGATTGCAAGGCTCTAAAACATAGTTGTCTGGATTCATTTAGCATCACCCTCATAGCCCTGAGGACCATAGATGCTTCTCAGAGCATGGCTATCTTATAGCAGTTGTTGGTCTGGCAGTATAGCTGAATCTTGAGCTCCAGGTGCAGTGACAGCCCTTGTCTGAAAATATAAGGCAGAGGACTGGGAGGTGGCTCTGCAGGTAGAAGCACTTGCCACACAAGCCTGGAGACTTGAGTTTGAAACCAGTGGAAGGCGAGAACCGACTGAACAAATTTTTCCTCTGACATGCGTGCTGTTACGTTCACAGGCCTCCCTAATCCTACGAACACACACACACACACACACACACACACACACACACACACAATAATAATAATAATAAAGTGTTTTTTTAAGGTGGAAAATATATGAGGAAAACAACTGGCATCAACCTCTGATCTCCACATGCACACACATGAACATATACACACATATACCACACACATACTCATACATATATCTACAAAACCAAGTACAACACACACTAAAAACCCAAATTCTTGAATTTTCTGAAAGATCAACTCATTGTTCAACTATTGCAAGAAAAATAAGGCATTTCCAGGCTTGAAATAACTACCGTAGAGCACACACACTTTCCTGTTTAGCAACTTGCTGTGTTCTTGTTTTAACATTGGTTCATAGAAAGGCGAGGGCTGCCCTCAGATCTCTGAAATTACTCTGTGGTCTTCCTCCAGGTCTTGCTGCCACTAGACAATCCATATGGCAAAATCACAGGGACAGTCAAGAGGAAGCTGTCTTCAAGGCTCTGACATTGCAGCCACCAACAGGAATCCACTGGACTGAAGAGCTCTTTGTCACCTGTGATGCTGGGGATTACATCATGTTTCCCTGTACAAATTTCAACCTAGGCTATTGACTGTTTACTTCCTCTGGATTACCTTAGTAATTACAATACTTTCTATGATATGGGTAGTTTACTTTAAAGATGCTGAACAGTGTCAGCATAACCCCAATGTTTCTGTTTGGTTGTTTTGTGCCTTTCTGCCTTAGAATCAGTCTTTAGAATCAGCTCATGAAGAAAAAAAGTCATGAATTAGCGACAATGCCACCTCAATTTGAACATGAGTTTTAAGAAGCAAACATTGCTCTGGGAGGTGCAGAAAATACAATAAAATCATGTGAAAATATCATTATTATGATTCCAGTTGACTGAATATTTGAATGTTAAAAACCCTTTAGCATATGTATCATTGGTAGTTTATTTCTACCCTAATGATAATTTCATGATCATGCTGTGTTGCTTTTATGAATTTTACAATCCTTAGAGAAAACTTAATACACTGGGGTATTGAAATACATAAAAATTATTTTTCCTTGAAAAATGTATCCTAATGGTGCAAAGAGTCATGTTTAATAAATGTTAAGTCAATATGCAAATGTTGGATATGCCTGTAGAAAGACTGGAATACATATCTATGAAAAGATCAGCGTGGGTGACTTCTGGGTGACGGATTTATGAATGTTTTTTATTTTTCATCCTGTAGTTTTCTGATGCTTCCAATTGTGAATATTACTTTCTTTTTAAAAAATATTTCATTATTTTTATGTGTATGAGCATATTGCCTGTATGTGTGTAAGTGCATCCACGTCATGCAGTGCCCACAGAAGTCAGAAGGGGGCATCAGATTCCCCTGGAACTGGAGTTACAGACGGTTGTTAGCCACCATGTGGGTGCTGGGAATCAAACCTGGATCCTCAACAAGAGCAGCCAGCGCTGTTAACCGCTGAGCCAGCTCTCCACCCTCTATTAGTTTCTTAATCAGAGAAGCATAGCTGATCATTTAAGATGATACAGACCTGAGAGGTGATTCCATGAAGATGCTAACATTACCCATTGTGTATATAAAGCTTTATACATGACAGCTTCAGAAACTCATGGCTAAAACCTGTGCATATGAACATCCTACGTAACTTTCTTCTGTTTTTAAATTTTCCCTTAATAAAATAAGGGGCTGGAGAGAAGGCTCAGCTGTTGAAAGCCCTTGCTGCTCTTGCAGAAGACTTGGGCTTGGTTCGCAGCACCCATGTCAGGTGGCTGGCTTGCAACTGTCTGTAACTCTAGTTACAGGGGATCCAACACCTTCTTTTGGCTTCTGTGGATGCCTACACTCACATATGTACATACATACACTCAGGCATATACATGACATAAAATGAATTTTTAAAACCTCCATTATTTTAGAAGTGCTTATCTATAGTCTTTAGTATTGTTTGATGAATTGCTTCATTCAGCTTTATACTACATCTATCTAAGGCACTGGGATTATATTAATATTAGATTTCTATAATTATGGGGAAACACTATAGGCAATTAACTTTAAATGAGAAAAATGTTATTTTGACTCAAGATTCTAGAGTTTCCATGTGGCCCTTTGCTTGTGGCCTCTTGCAAGGGCGGTAATCATAGTGGGAGGGCGCATACAGAAGAAAAAGATCACTTATGGCACAGCCAGGAAGCAAAAAGAGGAAAAGACCAGCATCCTACAACCTGCTTTGAGAACGTGCCCCTAATGTGCTAAGAACTTCACAGAAGGCCCCAGTTCTGAAAAGCTCCATTGCCTCCGAATAACCCCACCCTGGGGGCCAAGCACTGACACAGGGACCTTAGAAGACACCCGTCTATGTCACAGCAATAGTTGTAGTGGCTGATCACACATCTCATTAAAATCTTAGTTCCATTTTTTAGTAGATATAACAATCCTCATCTGTAAAACAGAAGCTACTCCAGAGATCTTTTGAGGATTAAAATAATTAAAGTTTATTAAGAAACTGTGTTAATATTTGTGTCTGACACATAGAAATTTCCGCATAAGCATTTGCTAAATAGAATAAATTCCCAACCTTCCCATTGCTGAGACTCAAATAGAAAGTTGGCATTAGCCTGTGTGGGTCAGGTGAGAGGTGAAAGGTCATTAGAGTAGCAACTCTCACCATATTCTGGGGGCTGCTTGCAAGCTCGCCTATGCCTGCTTAGAAAGAACCCAGGAGAAGAAAACTGAAATCATTCCACAGGGAAAGTGCTTGTGTCTACATCATGGAGCGAAATGACTGGCACATTTGATTCCTCTAATAATTTGATAATTCAGTTCCAAGAGAAAAGATAAAATTTGCCTAAAAGGGAACCAAAAACATGACTGTGAGAGTTGGACTTCCTTTCTGATTCCATTGACCATCAGGGAACTGGACATGACTGGACGCTGGATGCACGCTTCACATTGAGTCACTTGGAAAAATAAATTTTCGTTGTTGTTAATGTTTGCTATAATTCTGTGTCCTGTGCTTGGATGCATTTTGTAAGAGTTGTCATTTTTGTAAATTCTTAAATAAAACTGATTTAAATAATTAAAAACACAAACAACAAAAACTTTAATTAGGCCTTTCTTATTTGATGTTTTTCCATTCATGGGAGTTTCAGAAACAGGAAACCCACGCTCGAGGAGAAGAATCGAGAAATAAATCACAGCCCATTTCAAACATGCATGTTTCCCTCTCCTGAACAGTAACGGATGGCAAAGGATCGATCGATGGGAAGTTCCGCCCCAGTTGTGTGGTAGCCTGTCATCTGCCAGGGACCGGGGTCCTGTTTTGTAAAGGATGTTTTCTTGTAGTTAGGATTGTAAACTGTACGTTGAAAAGCACCTTTGGGTTTTACCTGCTCCTAGGCCTGAACTGTAAACGTGTGAGGTCATTTGTACTACACTGTTGATCATCTTGCTCTGAAAGGCTACAGCGGTTCTGTTCCAAGTAAAGCTCCTCTCCTGACATTCTCCACACCCTGTCTCTGTCCTTCACTGATCTCATCTCAAAGGCTGTCATGCAGGAATAATGCAGCTGATCTCAAGCCATGGACTGCATGGAGGTGGTCTGCATGGTATTCAATGCACCAGCTGTTACTTGGGGCTTGGGGCTGTTGACAGTTAGGATTCTGGATAAGGCTTCATTTTCTCTAAATCTCATCCTATAACTTCATAGTGACAGACTCAGAAATTTATTGTTCCTTTCCTTCTTAGAGTCAGACTTAAGTTCATATCATTATTTTATAAACCGATTCTCCCTTTTCTAGTCTTATATAAAATAATATGTTCTTGAGATGGCATTTTACTTGTCAATGAAATAGAATTTAATGTTTTTCCATCACTTGTAAGTTTTAACTGTAGAAATCTGAACTTTTTTCAAACCTTTAATGCTTAATGTTTTGTCCAGAAAGAATTCTTGGCTGTGTGGAATTTGCCCTGGTAAGTGACCTTTGCAAGCCTTTGTAACTTCTGCCTATGCACCTGAACTTGAGAGGAAGCCAAACTTGTTTCCAAGGAGATGTATTTCAAGCCTTCTCACCAGACACACCTCATGCTTCCATAGGTTTAAAACTCTACATCTCTCTGTTTTTCACAGGCTTTTTTTTGGTCTCTCTCAGAGCTCAGTGGTCTCCCATTCTCCCACTTGCCCAGACTTCCTCTCAGAAATTCTTAAGAGTTTTTGAAATCTATCAAGGCTACATTGAGAAGATAGTAGCTTTGTACCTTCTCAGAAGCAGAAAGGAGTCAAACTGAAATTTACTGCATGAGGAGTGTAGCCAACGAAATGAGAGAATGGGTATATAGAAGCAAGAGAAGGGCCCAGTTGTATTAGCTTCCTGAGGCTGCCATAAAAAAAATCACTGGGGTGGCAAAAAACAATGGACATTGATTCTGTCCTAGTTAGTGGAGGCCAACTGTCCAAAATCAATGTGCTGACAATACCACACTCCCTACAAAGGCTCCAGGGGGAGATTCTGTTCTTGTCTCCTTCAGGGGCTCTTGGCTCATGAGCACCCCCATCCTTGCTTCCCTAGTCACACTGCCTCCTCCTCCTCTGTCAGATCTCCCTTGTATACTCATAAGGACACCTACCATTGGGTCTAGGGTCTACCTGGATACCCAGTGTGATTGTTCCATCCACAAGGCTCTCTCCAAGATATTTAATCTAGAAAGGTTAATTTTCCCCCACATAAAGTCACGTTGTAGGTTCTAGCAATTAAGATATTGACTTTTTTATTGGGGGTTACCAACGCACTACATCCAGTAAGTAAGGGTGACAGTAGGCTTCTCAAGGACAACTCTTCTGATATATAAGTGTTGTTAGCTACACACAGAGTATCATTCCCTTCAGGTCTGGAGAACGGTCATACCTCTCTTTGTTTGCTCAGTGGTCACACAGACATCTGGAAATGGGAGAAGAGTGTGAACTTTTGTCCAGATGGTGCTAAGTTTCAGAATGGGCACCACTAATTCTAGCTGTGTTATCCTGAACAAGTTACAGGGACTCTAAGCTTAGTTTCTCTCATTTCTTAAACAGGACTGATAACAGGGCATAGGGTAACAGGATTTACTGACGTGGACCCTGAGTTAGAATCCTTTAATTTCCCATACCTGAATGCCTGCCAGTGTCTTCAGTGTCAAAAAGAACTTGTTTACTTAAGAAGCACAGTGGCAACTCAGGGATGGCACTAGAACTCAGGCTTACCCACCGCTGTGCTGCCACCGTCGTCTTTGCAGTGTGGTAAGGCCCTGTGGCCACAAAATGGAAGGTAAGATAAGGTAAGTGCTAAAGAGGCTGGAACGTTCCCCAGATCGCCTGAGTCCAAAGCACTGATTCTCTTCAGGACCTAAAGTGTTGGCCTCTGGTGTCTAATCATTGAATCCCTCTGCAGAAATTACCTTTGACTGAAGAATGCTGTTTCTCTCAAGTTTGTATGTACTCCCTGGAAGCATCTCATGGGCAATATGCAGTCACACAAGAGCCCAAGGGCGTGGGATATAGCTTTCTGTCACCAATAACTATTGCTAACAAATACTCAATTTTCCAGCAGTAGAAACCAATATTGAATGAGACCTTGATATGAAGCCTAATAATACTTTGGCAGCAAGTCAAATACATTGAATTCCTTTCATTTTGAAAGGGACATTAATTCATCTTGACTAAAATGATACATATTCTTGGCATGGGGTTGCCTTCCCTGCCCCCAGGGACTCAGCAGGTTCCACTCTCCAAAGGCTTACAGAATCCCACTTAGATCAAGAAGCCCTACTTTAAAGTAAAAGAGATGAGGTCACCATCTATAAGTGACCATGTGACCCACCAGGCCCCGTCACCTACGGAGACATCACAATGCTCTTGGTGCAATAGTGATGGAATGATCTCTTAAAGGTGCAAATGAGGTCCAATCTGGAGAGGACATCATGTGGTGATAGAGTACTGTCCTG